CTGCACCCGCGATGTCAACGTCCACCTCCCTCTACCTCGGCATCGGCCCCGCATCCCCTAATGGGTGACCGGCGGAGCCAGAGCAGCCTCCAGCCGGGCGCCGGTGGGGTACGTGCTGCGAGCTGCCGGTGGGGTATGTGCAGCTTCCCGTGGGCATCGTATGCCAGCTCCTGCTCAACGGGCGCCAGCTCCCTTCCTCCTCAAGCAGGTCCGTGACGACGCCGTTAGCTGGAGCAGCGCTGCGCTGCGGTGGAGGCGAAGTCGAGCAACGCTGCCACCGCAAAGACGGCCACGACCGCGGAGGGCTCCTGCAGCGTGGGCGCAGTGCTCGCCAGCTCCTCTAGCGCGGCGGCGCGGGAGGCCGCAGAGCCCAAGCGGAGCCGGGAGATGAGCGCGTCTTCCGCGGCGGAACAGGAGGCGGCGAAGGAGGATGGGGCCGGCGCGGGCGCGAAGGCGAGGAGGCACGTGTTGGCGGCAAGCTAGGAGAGAGAGGCGGCGGTGGAGGAGAGCAGCGAGACGGTGTGGAGGTGACCGAACCTGGGAAGGCACGTCCCTTGCGATGGACAGGAAATAGAAAAAAAAGAGAAAAGGAGAAAGGAAGAAGAAAGCGGCAGGGGCAAGAATGTCATTTCACCGCTGTTCTCTCTCATCAACCGGCTGCAACTGATCCGCGGTGTCTTGTGGCCTAATTTCACCGGACCAGAGTGTCTTCTGGCAAATCGGTCAAAATGGGGTGTCCGCAAGCAAACGACCATCACTTTGGATGTCCGCACGACAATTGTCCCTAACATTTATGAATGTGATAATTTAGGTAGAGAACATGTGATTATTTTTTTATTTTTTTTATTTTCATTTAGCAAATGGTTTAATTTGTATATCGCAAAGACTTCTAATGGCATTATTTTGTAAATAAATTTTAAAACTAAAAAATTCAAGTAATTTGTTTTCACTATTTTCAAAAATACCTCGTAAGACAAGTTCAAGTTGATCAATGTTTTAATTTAGCTTTTTAACATGTAAATTTTATCTGCAAGATGAGCCCTCGAAAATACTGTAACATGACTTAAGACACGTAAGGAGTAATTAGGACCGCTCAAGAGGATTAAGCAAACACTTAATGTGGTTGTTTCAACAACATCACCTAGAGTTTTCTATGTGATACATCTGCGTCATTCTTAATACGGTATGAGTTTGTGTCATACTCATAATACTTTAAAATTATGGATCTGCATAAATAGTATTTTTTACTATGTATAGTGTTTTCATAATATATTTATAAAATATATTATATATTAAAATATTATGCATAATTTCATTTTAATTTTAGTCCTTCTACGATCAAGTCAAATAGAATTCAATTAGGCATCAATTTAGGATAAATGTTTAACCACTAAAATCAAATTGGGCTGGTATATTATTGCATATTATTTGGCATCCATTCTGAGACACTAATTCTGCATGTTTATTCAAATCACCTCTAATTTGATAAACATACGTGTTAAATAATATATTTATTAAATTACTAAATAGATTATAGTTCTTATAAAATTTCAGAACAGTCATCATGAAAATATAGCTGCCGCGCGCCTGATTGAAAATTTTCTATGTCCTGTTCACTTGACTGATAAGTCATTGTTGAAAATACTGTTTACTGATTTGTCGTCAAAGAAAAATAGGGTTCGTCGGCTGAAAACTGTTATGGCCGCATGCGCAAGAGGGAAACAAAACAGCCCCATACCCTTTTCTATTCCGAGATGCCTCTCTCTCTCTCTCTCTCTCTCACATCTCCAGGCGCCTCCTATCTCTCTCCCACCACCAGATCTCCATCCATGGCAAGGCGGTGCCTTGAGCGGCAAAAGTGCGGCAGCGTCGTTGGTCCAGGCTTCCCATGGAACGGCGGTGTAGGCGACCCCTGCGGGCTCCCTGAGGCGTGGCTGCAATGGCAACGAGCACCTCGAATTCGGGGATGCGGATCGATGTCTGTCCGGCGCATGGATCCGCCGACTACAGCCGCATCTCCGAGGACGGGCGCATGGATCCGGCGGACCGAACCTGCCTCGTGCGCGTTCCCGCCGGCTTTCACGTGTGAACGCAGTCGACCACCTCCCCGACACCCCGTCTTCTCGGCCGATTCGGTCAGCTTCTCTTCGACCCCTCTCGATCTCCATTTTCTCTCTCTCGATCTACTGTCTTCTTAAACACGATTTGGTTTTTTGACTTGTGTAGTTGTGTGATGCTCGAGGGACGATGATGGGGAGGGTGGGGCTCACCGTAGTGGCGGCGGCGCTCCTCGTCCTCTCCAAGCCTTAGGAAGGGAGAGCCACTGCCACTTGATTTATGCTCCGAGAAGGGGGCCACTCCAGCTAGTTGCATAGTTGGTCCTGACGCTGCCTCCGCCAACTGCCAAATCTGGTCGGCGACAAGCATTGCAGAAGTGCCGTAGAGAAGTGGTTCGTCCAACTCCCGTTAATGATGCTGTCCTGCTGTCTGTAGCGTTCTTATTTTCCTGCAATTGAAGGATATATAGGCCTTGTTTAGTTCCAAAAAGTTTTCCCAAAAAATGCTACAGTAGCCATCACATCGAATCTTGCATACGTGCATGGAGCATTAAATGTAGACGGAAAAAAAACTAATTGCACAGTTTGGTGGGAAATCGCGAGACGAACGTTTTGAGCCTAATTAGTCCATGATTGAACACTAATTGCCAAATAAAAACGAAAGTGCTATGGTAGCCAAATTCCAAAATTCGCGGAACTAAACAAGGCCATAAGCAGAGGGAACAGTTAGCTATCTGCCCTCATGTTTAGCCTAAGTTTTGTATGCAGATCGTAGAAATGCCATCTAGTTTCAGAAGTACAGTAGCTATTCTTCCTCAGGCTCTCTCATGAACTTGTCATGATACGGATTAACTGGTAGCATGCTCACTGATTAGTGATTAACACAAAGTCTGAATGGTTTGGTTTTGAAGCTTTCATTGTCAGATAATAACAGGGCAAATGGTTCATCGTTTCAATATACTTTAATTGTCTACCTAAATGGTTTTGAAATTACCTTAGCTTGATATGGACCTGAAAGCTGCATTTTTTATGGCACACGTTTTGGTCAAAATCAAGAAAAAAGAATTGCTGGTCTGATAAGTGACAGATACACTACATTCTGGAAAGCACAAAGAGAAGTAATTCTATTTCCTGGAAGGTTTCAGAGCTGAATTTCAATGTAATACCAGATCGTGCCTTGCATATTACTTGCACATCATTTGGCTGTCTTAAGCCCTAATATCTAATGTTAGACATGTAACCACAATGCACTTTTAATATTTTTCCTGCTCCCTGACTTTTGGCATTAATCTGTAGATGCCGAAACGGCCACTGAGAAGCGCTTCAAGGACATATGAAGTCAGGCATTGAAAGGATCTTACACAAGGGCTCAGGATTTCTTGAGAAAGCGATAGAACTCGAGCCAGAGGTTACTTTGATGCTAGCCGTTCAAAGGAACTAGGTAAGCTACACTCTATCTAGTGTGGTATTACCAGCCGTCCATATTATTTTCCAGATCTTTTTTTAGCCATGCACCATCCAAATCCCATAATTCAATGGCTTCTTAGACTTTGTGTTTGTTCATACCTTAAGGGCCCTTTGAAGTGCAGATCTCACATTCAATCTTTATTGAGTTTCTGCACATTTCTGCAGTATAAACAGTATAAACACTGATTTTCCACTTCCAATTGTATGAGTAATTTTATTCCCATATGATACAGCTTGTTCTCATAGCAATCAGAAGGGTATCTAATTGTATGCTTGTTCATAAATTACAGGAAAACATGGACGACCAGAATAATTAGAGAAAGCTTTATGCTTGAATGTTGGTGATGGATAGCTAGAAGAATTAGAGAAAGGTTTATTGGTGAACGCTGACGCTGATGGAGCTTGAAGAAATTAATAAGCAAACTCATATTTAGTTCTATTTTATTATTCTAAACATAGTTGCAAACTTGTAGTCAGAGATGATGTTTTATTCTGGTGTGGTCATGTTTACTTTAGAAATATTCTGGTCATTGTGTTATTACTTTGGTTGAGACATGTTTGAAGTTAATGAAGGTTTGAGTTCTTACATGTGACGATGAAATATATACTCATGATACAATTATTTTGCAACAACAATTAAATATCCAGCTACAAAAAGAAAAAAAGGTGTTGGCCAAAACACCCTTGTTTCAATAAACTACTATGCGACCACTGTTTGTTGTTGCAACATACATTATTGTCACAAACTTTATATGTTGCTACAGGGCATGTTTGCCACCAACAATGATTTGTTGCATTTTTCATCTGTTACCACCAACAATGATTCATTACATCTTCTATCTATTACCTCGAACAATGATTCGTTGCATTTCCTATCTATTACCACCAATAATGATTCGTTGCATTACCTTTTATTGCCAACAGCAAATGAGCATGGCAATTGTGACTCTCGCCACCAAATTTGTTACGTGGCAACATTTCTTTGATGCAATGGAGCACACTGCATGGCAATATGACCATATTCCCACGTAACTATGGAGTGACAATAAAGCTATGTTGCGACAAGTTTGTTGTCGCAATATCCGTGCTTGCAACCATATTGTGGTTGTGTTAGTTTTTTATGTGCATTGCAAAACCACCATATTGCAACACCACATTCAAAAGGATGCAAGAACCTATTGCACCGTTTCAAATGCAACCACTTTTCAACAACCATACATAGATGCAATTGATTTGTATTGCAACCAAAATAGCCATATTGCAACCCAATATAGGCATCACGACAGGGCTGGATTATAGTAGTGGTTCCCGTCTTCCGAGGGCCGCAGGCTGTTCGCCGTCGGGCCTCTCAGCCCAGTGCTCCTCCCCGGCGCCGGCGCGAGCAGTGGGACTGGCAGCGGGAGCTCACGGCGGCACGAGTGCCTAGACTGGCTTGACACGCAGCCACCGTCGTCGGTGCTGTATGTCTCATTCGGCATGACGTCGTTGCTGTGTCTAGAGCAGGTGCGCGAGCTGGCCGCCGCGCTGCGGGACAGCGGGGCGCGCTTCGTGTGGGTGCTGCGCGACGCCGACCGCGCGGACCTGCGTGGCGGCGGGGAAGGGGATGCCGCGGCCGGGACCCTCCGTGCCGCCGCGGCGTCCGAGCTCGGCCCTGGCGACGCCCGCGCTGGCGTGGTGGTCACCGGGTGGGCGCTGCAGCTGGAGATCCTGGCGCACCGCGCGACAGCGGCGTTCATGAGCCACTGCAGCTGGAACTCCACTGTGGAGAGCCTCAGCCACGGGAAGCCCATCCTGGCATGGCCCATGCACAGCGACCAGCCCTGGGACGCCGAGCTCGTCTGCAAGTACCTCCGCGGCGGCGTGCTCGTGCGCCCCTAGGAGCGGCGCCACGACGTGACCCCCGCGTCCGCGATCCGCGATGCCATCGACAGGGTTATGGCCTCGGAGGAAGGCGCCGAGATCCGGCAGCGGGCGGCGGCGCTTGGGGAGGCCGTCCGCGGCGCCGTGGCCGAGGGCGGGTCGTCCAGGTGGGACCTGGACGAGCTCGTCGCGTACGTGAAAAGGTGATCCATGGTCCGTGCGGCCACTGTGCCGCGATGTGGCGTCCGTGCGGCGACTTCGTCCGCCACGCTGGCGCTGCCACGTCGCCTGGAGGCCGCGTCGGATGGGAAATGGACCTGCGGTGAACAACTTGAGAAGTTCAGAGGCCTATTTTTCGCATTTGCAAGTTCGTGGACCGGACTGGCACAGACCGACAAGTTAAAGGGCCGCTAGTGTATCACTCTAAATTAATTGAGCCCTGTGATATTCATTGGGATGAGAATGCATAGCGAAATTGAATTAACCAAACAGTGGTGTCGCACAGGGTTCTAGAATTCAATCTGAAACGATCGAATTTCGACAGAATTGACCAATCTTGGTGAGGCCCACAACAGCATCGTACTAGTAAAAAAAATAGATGAATTTGAATTTATACTCTAGTCTAGAGTTTATACAAACCCACAAGTTATTCCTTAATACAAAAGTTCAAAACCTATCCAATTATAATCCATCTATTTTCTTCTCGACGTGCCACTTGATCAGATTTTGCCCAAAATTCAGCTAAATATTAGCTAAACATGAACATTTTTACGTGTCAAAACAAGTGAAACCCGATCCAAGATTATTAAAATATCTGAGGTTCACCTATTTCATACAGTTCCGAATTTTTTTTGCCATTTGAATCGCAGGAGGTAATGTCGCGCGCGTGGAAGAGGAAGCCTGGACCGGACGACATGGAAGCAGTTGGAATTTGACCACAGTCGGCGGGCCGGACCGTGTCCGTGAGTAGTGGGAGATGGATGGCATGATGTCGGAGGGCACAACAGGCAGGCGTGCACGTATCCAGATCGAATTCCCTGCGCCGGTTGCTCCGTGCCTCCGTCCCTGCACTGCATGCACTTGCTTCTGCTCTGCTCCAGTGAAACAAGGTCCTCCATGGAACCACCGCAGGAAGAGCTCAAGTGCTCCAAATTTAGCTACCTCCCTGCCCCCAAACTGCCGGTTTAAAATCCCTCGCGCTTTAGTGTCGCTCGCGAGTGGAGACCCCCTCTGTTCCCTCTGGGTTGCATGGAATAATACTCTAGTTCTTGTTAACCTGGTTGACAGGGGAAGAGAGGACGAAGACAGAGAGCAGCGGCAGTGGAAGGAGAGCGGCCCGTGTGTTTATGCCCCGTTACGACCGCAGCATCGTGCACGTGTGATTGATCCGACGGAGACACCATGGAAGCGCGGCCGCGGCTGCTCTTAGTCGTCGTCGCGATCTTCATGTCAATATCTGCCAGCGGGGCGGCCGTCATAAACGTCAAGAACTACGGGGCCCAAGGCAATGGCGTCAATGACGATTCCAAGGTTGGAGCTTTCTTTCTTCGTCTTTGATCTGTCGTCCTCTGATTCACTTCCCTGCACTCTGATTCGTCATGTCATGTGTGACCAATACAATGCTGCAGCCACTGATGGCGGCGTGGAAGGCAGCGTGCGGATCAGCTGGCGCGGTGACGATGGTCGTGACGCCGGGGACGTACTACATCGGTCCGGTGCAGTTCCATGGCCCCTGCAAGGCCTCCACCTTGACCTTCCAGCTGCAGGCAAGTCAGTTGCACATTCTCCGTAGTTTGCCAATCGCCGCCAATCACGAACTGACCGGACGTGTGGGCATGCGGTTACATACAGTTTTACATATATGCATCCATGATGGATTGGATCGGTGCAGGGGACGCTGAAGGCCGCCACGGACCTGACCCGGTTCGGCAACGACTGGATCGAGTTCGGGTGGGTGAACGGGCTCACCGTCGCAGGCGGCGTCATTGACGGCCAGGGCGCCGCCTCGTGGCCCTTCAACAAGTGCCCCGTTCGCAAGGACTGCAAAGTCCTGCCCACCGTAAGGAGCAGCTATATATATAGCTTGCCCTCGATCTTCTCTGGCAATGAACGAATGATCGATCGATCAGTCCAACACGCCATGCATTGTTCTGAGACGGCCGCATGCATCTGCAGAGCGTTCTGTTCGTGAACAACCAGAACACAGTGGTGCGCGACGTGACGTCAGTGAATCCCAAGTTCTTCCACATCGCGCTGCTGTCGGTCAAGAACATCCGGATGAGCGGGCTCAAGATCAGCGCGCCGTCCAACAGTCCCAACACGGATGGCATCCACATCGAGCGCAGCAGCGGGATACAAATCATGGACACGCACATCAGCACAGGCGACGACTGCATCTCCATCGGTCAGGGCAACGACAACGTGGACATTGCCCGCGTGCAGTGCGGCCCCGGCCACGGCATGAGCGTCGGCAGCTTGGGTCGGTACGCCGGCGAGGGCGACGTCACACGGGTCCACGTCCGCGACATGACCTTCACGGGCACCATGAACGGCGTTCGCATCAAGACATGGGAGAACTCCCCTTCCAAAAGCCATGCCGCGCACATGGTTTTCGAGAACATGGTCATGAAGGACGTCCAGAACCCCATTATCATCGACCAGAAGTACTGCCCTTACTACAACTGCGAGCACAAGGTAAGTACGGCGTCCTGGCGTAACATGTCGTGCTTGATCATTACTTTTCTTGTCGTTGCCGCCGCGCTCTGCCAAATAGTGTAACAATGCATGACATCATTTGCTCGTGACTAATGTAATGCTCTTCACAGTACATGTCCGGGGTGACTATCCAGGACATTCAGTTCAAGAACATCAAGGGCACGGCGACGACTCCGGTGGCGGTGTTACTCCGGTGCGGTGTGCCGTGCCAGGGTCTGGTGCTGCAGGACGTGGACCTTAGGTACAAGGGGCAGGGTGGTACATCGACCAAGTGCGAGAATGCCAAGGCCAAGTACGTTGGCTACCAGTTTCCGAAGCCTTGCCCCTAGGTGGCTGTCGAGGAGATGACCGTGGCCAGCCGGCTGGCCGGCTAGCGCGTGCGTGAGATAGAAATGCTTTAGGTGATCTGTGCGTGTCACCCACTCTGGTGTACCTAGCTAGCTAGCTCCCGTTTGTGGTGAAGTGGGCTTTCATTCTTCGATCGTGTTCTCTAGACGTTTTTTTTGGCTTTTCCTGTGTGCTTTCTTGATTAGCTGATTTTTGTGGTATAATTGATGGCAATTTCTGGCATCTAGTTGCTTGTATAAGTGAACTTGTGAATACCTGGCATCGTTAAATATATGGGGGAATGATGCCTTGTTAAAGCCTAATTCATGATTCAGTTGGTAATATATGACTTCTATGATGTACTCCCTCGGTCCTATCAAAAGTGTTACTATGGGATTTATGCTAAGTTTAACTGACTTGTAGAGAAATATTAGCAAAACTTATATCTCAAATAAGTTTATTATAAAAATATCTAATGATACTAATTATGTATCATAGATATTAATATTTTCTTATATATATTTGGTCAAAGTTGAAAATACTTGACTTCTCGGGGAGTGAGAATGACATTTTCTTTATGAGATGGGAGTACGTGTTAGTTGTGATTATGATCCCATGTACCGGTTTGACCTTCCAGTCATATGAAATTTAGGGCCAATTTACATTCTCTCCTCTACACTTTAGAGCTTTAAATTTTAAGCTAACGTCTCTAGGCAGGTGGTCTAAGTAGCTCTAAACTTTAGCCCACCTCACATTATTGCTTTAGACATCATCAAAAGTGAGCTAAAGTGCTCTAAACTTTTTAGAGCTCTAAATTAAAGTTTAGAAGATGGGATTCAAATAGGTCCTTGTACATACCGCTTGAAAGGCTCAATAAAGATAATTTAACTCCACCTAATTCTAGATTCCTACCGTATGACCAAGCACCTTTTTAACTTTTATGAATTATTATTATATCCTTTTTTAACACTTGAAAATTTGAAGACGTGCCTTGCTTGAAGGACCGAATACGATGACTGAGAAGGGTGAATGAGAGTCGCAAATTTTCTTTCGAAACTTTCGGCCGCTATCCTAAAATCACCGCTCAACTCAAAATACAACAACCGTGATGCGCTTGAGCCAACTAGTGATTGGATGTTTTATAGGAACACAGCGCGACACCACATGCCTAAACGAAAAGCTCTGGCAAAGAATCAACGATCCGGAAACAGAACACTCAACTCCTATGGCGCAGAAGCAAGTACCCGACTCAAAATACCCAAGCCAATCGATAACAAGAGTATTGAGAGATATTCCATGGATCAGGGGAAACCAACGCAAAAACTGGATCACGAATCAGATCACAGACACTCAAGAATAGGAAGAAACAGTACTGCACCAGGGGCGTCGGACCAGCCAAGAGGAGTCGTCGGACCAGTTGGTCCCTGGGGTCCGACGCTCAACCAGGCAAGGGTGTGACTGTAGCGCAGATGAACTTCGGAGTTCGGACGGTATGCTAACACTGTAGCAGGTCCGACCTTTCCTTTGCGCGAGAGACATAGTTTGGCCTGGGGTCGGACCAAACAGCCTAGAGTCCGACTCTCACACGCTGGAACACAGGGAGCGATGCAAAACACACGGAGGAGAGGACCCTTGTGTTGTAAAATATAGGGAATCTACCCTAGAAGAAAAGAATAAAGGGCAATGCTAATCCTAGTCCATTTATATGTGGGCTCTTACCAAACTCGCAGGCAGAGCCAAGCCGGCAAAAATTGGGGCCCTGTACCAAACTATAAAATGAAGCCTTATCTCTTGATAGACAGAATTATAGTAATTATTTTAAATTCTACATACATATCATGCAAATGTATTAATCTCTTGGAACATAATAAATAACCATATATATGAAGAATAATTATAGTTTATAATATAACGATTGTTCGAAAAAATATTAGTTCATATAACTTATGAAGGACAGTAGAATTCAAAATTGGGGAAAAGATTAGAATTATCTGGTACTCTCTCCATCCATAAACGAGTGCAATTTTAGCACAATTAAAAGTTAAAATATCTCAAGTTTGACTAGCTATAAATAAAATACATCAATATTTATGATATCAAATAAATATTATTAGATTTTTCATGAGGTATACTTTCATAATATGTTTATTTGAGCATTAATATTTTTTACTTATATATTTGGTTAAATATATTAGACACATTGTACTCCTAACTCATATGTACTCAGTGGTACGTAGTATGTAGTATCGGCTAGTTTCCGGTGCTAATACATGATGATAGTTTATGGCATGGGCTTGAATTGATCCCCTAGCTTCTAGCTAGGCGTAGCTGGTAGTCACTAGAACTAGTTTGCATGCGCCTGATGACAAACTACCGTAGTGATGGCTGTTAGCTGATACATCAGGATTTGGGGACCCCTAAAAATCATGGGCCCTGTTCCCACTCATTTCCGAAGGCGTGCCAGCCCATTTGACCTGCAATTGATAAGGAGCGAAAGTTTATCAGTAATTTAAGGTGGAACATGCCGGTCTTACCCACACAGTTCCAAGTGTGCCGCTTCGGGAGCAGCCAGACAGGAAAAATCGACTAAACAACCGATACGCGAAGAAATCGGCTATTAAGGACTGTAAAGCTCGTGGGTTGCAATTGATTTTATGATGACAAATACAATGCACGTAGATATAAGTAAAATTATTAGCTAGGTGGATATTACCAGTGTAAAGCATTGAGCCGATGAATCTAACGAGAAAGGATATAACAACTGAACAAATCCACTGTCTAGTATAAATGGATCTACAAACACTCTGAATCTAATCTGTTACTATCAACAGTGAGGTTCGACCGGATCGATGGCAGCTATGATGATAATAACAAACTAAAATCGAAGAATCCGTAAAACCGTCTATACATAGACATGTTTTCTGAAAGACATGCTATATGTGTGAAAGCACAAACGAATCGGCTAAAATAGCCGATTCAGATAAAAAAGGACTACAACATGTGAACAATCGACTATTTAACATGGATAGATCTGTGAACTCATCAGACCTAACCTGTTATCTTTAACCGTGGGGTTTGACCAGATCGATGGCAGCCATGATAAAGATAACAAATCAAACATTTAAAGTAAACAGATCTATTCACATTTAACATAATCATAGAGACACACTATAGGCGTTAAAACACAGGCGATCAACTATTTAGCCGATACAGACATAGCAAACAGTCAGGGTCATGCCCGGTCAAAAGCAAATCTACCAACCAGCATCCTCCGATCTAAAGTACTAACAATGGGGGTCGACCGGATTGATACATCCATAATAGCGAGCTATGGACCAGATCCAACTAGCTAGTAAACCTTCTCAAGATCAGACGTGCCTTGACCGCATACTATGCACGACCAAGATCAAAGCAGAACGACCGATGAAACATAATCCGTTGTTTAAAGTAAGAACCGTCATAATATAACAAAATAAATGATGGATTAAAAGGATGTGAGGCCGATCTAGATCGATGTCGATCGGATAGGTTGATATTACTGAAAACTAATGGCAATAAGAACATCAGTAAGATCGGTAACTTAATAAATCTACCAAAAGGATGCCACCCTTAGGTAGAGCAAATAACTTGACCTTAATCTAATTCGAGCAGTAGAGGTCGAACTTAACCGATGCAGCTGCACTTGAACTAGATAAGAATCGATCACTAGTGTAACACCTCTGGTGTTTTGACCTAGCACTAAAAATTTGACATGTCATCATATGCATTGCAAAGCATTCATAGAGTAGAAAATTTTGAATGCATTCACTAAATAAGGTTTATTTCATAATGTTGTTATTTCATGTGATGTGATTCAAAATCCTAAATAAAGATCATAACTATAAGGGTCAAAATTCATGTGATCATGTGAGGTCATATGTCATTTGACTCAAATAACCCTAATGGGCCATGCTACTGGTCAAAAATCAAAGTTAAAGTAAAAGAAAGACAAATCAAATTTGAATTCAAATTCAAATTATAAAAGTTCTTTTTGCCCCTTGTGACTAATTCAAAATCCATGTGAAATTTGGGGTTGAGGCAAAAAGCAAAGTTGAAGATTATTTTATAAGGGTCAACTTTGGTATTCAAAGTTTTTCAAGTTTACATATAAAATTTGGAGTAATTTTGGAATGATTCAAATACTCAAATGCACCCCAAATTCAAATTTCAAAATGGAGGCAGAATTTGAAAATGTTCCTTGAAGCAAAGTTGTAGAGTTTGAAAAATTAAGCAACTTTCATTTTTGGAGATTTTCAACTTCTTTAGAAAAATTGAGAGTAATTTGCAAAATGGACTCGGTGGCAGTTTTGTAAATAGTTCAAAATCAAATTGACATCGTCTGTCTGCCGCTGGCGACAAGCCGCTGTTCGCCGCCGACCTTCTTCGCCGCTTTCACGCGCGGTGACACGCCGATGCCTCCGTGTTGAGCTCGCTCGTGTGCTGTCGACACCGCATGCCTTCCTTCTTTCTATAAATAGGAGCATGCCGTCGTCGTTCCTCAGTTTCCCATCGACTGCTCGCCGCCGGTGTCCTGACCGCGCTCGCAAAATTCGTCCTCGCCGTAGTACCTGGGGTCAATTGCATTGGCCAAAAGCTCCGCCTCACCCTGCCACTCATTCCCGACCTGCTCGCCTCATCTTTAGCCGGTCAGCGCCACCGCGCGATGCCGTCTTCTTCGGAGCCGGCCGGAGCTCCGCCATCATCGACCTCACCGTGGTCCCGTCGATCCAGTACGTCTCCGCCTTCACCAAGTCTACCTACGTGATCACAGTGAGCTCCTGAACGTGATGATCATTTCGCTTTAGTCTCTACTGCAACGTCGCCGTGGTTACACCGTACGCCGTCGTGCCTAGGCCGCCATGCCCGGTGGGGAGCTATCTCCGGTGCACTTGCTGCCTTTCTGAAGGTTGAGATGGATTCGTGGGGTAGAGTAGGTCATGTAGGTGCGGTGTGCCTCGCCGGA